AGATAGACCGGTTGAACGAACGTGTAAAGGAGTTATATGATGAAATGTGCGGCCTGAAGCGCGTAGAGCGGTTTGGTGCGCTGGTAACGATGGCAACGTGGGCAAAAGAGTCCTTGAAGGACTTTATGAGGTATCCCATTTAAGGCTTATTAAATTCTTATCATATATGGAGTGCGTACACTGCAACAAGAGGCTTAGTTCTAAGCAAATGCTAGAGTATCACGTTAAGAATAAGGTCTGTAGGAAGTCGCGGGAAAGGCGCTGCGAACACTGCGATCGCCTATTCAGTAGCGTGCAGATGTTGAAGTACCACGTGGATAACAGGGTGTGTCTAAAGAACATCTGTGAGCGCTGCGACGAAGACAAAGACGACGAGTGGCATCGTTTCCGCTGCCTTGCGCGGTATGAATTGGACGGCGTAGCCTGCGAGATACACGGCGATATCGCAGCGCGCTGTTGCCCCAAGGAAACGAGGGCAAAATTGACGCGATTAAAAAAGGAGATAGACATGAGCTTTGCCATGTTCGCCCGCGTTGAAGGTGTGCGCTGGGAAGACAGGGAGTATCGGGAGGCGGACTGCCCCCGTTGCGGTCGCAATAGGAGCGATCAACATATTTGGCAGTGTTTGTACGTGCAGGCTGATGGTCCGATTACCTTCAAAGAGTACGTGGATCGATTTGACGAGTGGAGTGCCAATAACCTAAGGATCAAGGAAGCGCGCTAGACTCCCCCAAAATCAATCCCTTATTCTTATTTATTATTTATTAGGATTTCCCAAAGCTGCTAGGAAAGGATCCTTATTTTTATTTATTATTATTAATAAGAATAAATAATAATAAGACTCCCCTTCGAGGCAGTTCCGGTAATGAGAATAAATAATAAATAAGACTCCTTTCAAAATAGTTTCCGGGGGGATCTAATAAAATCTTAATAATAATAAGGGATTCCTTCGAGATAGTTCCTTTTATATGATAGCCTACGCAGCTGCATTCCTAATCGCTATTTCAATATATGGACTGCATTACCTGCGAGATATCCAACGACTGCATCATAGCACCCAAGCCTAAGACGAGAAAAAAATACACCTGCCTCCATTGTGGCAGTGCATTCCTTAAGGAATCCTTCGTGGGGCATTGGTGCGCAGCCGACCCAAAGGCACACAGAACTCTACTAGACGTCTCTAACCATGCAGAGGACTCTCAGGCTCATACTTAACTACGTC